TAGTTAGACACTTGATATCCTTGTGAAACACTTTATATATTAGTTAGACACTTGATATCCTTGTGAAATACTTTATATATTAGTTAAACACTTGATATCCTTGTAAAACACTTTATATATTAGTTAGACACTTGATATCCTTGTAAAACACTTTATATCCTTGTCAAACCCTTTCTATCCTTGTTAAACCCTTTTTATCCTTGTTCAACCCTTTATATCCTTGTTAAACATGACTTTATCTCAATATAAACACTTTTATATCCTTGTTTAAAACTTTAATTATATCTTTGTTAAGCACTTTATAACCTCGTTAAACATCATACATGTTTATCAAACATATTTTAAATAAACCAAACCGGGACCTATATTTGTATGCAATATATGTTTCTATAATATTTGTTCCAAATCTTATAATTAGAAAAACATGGTTTGTTTATCGGCCCTACAACACGAACATTCTTCAGTAAATCATATTCATTATACGTTATACAATTTACATGCATATTATACATTTTACATATACTGTAACTATACACATTACATATTATACAATTTACATGCATATTATACATTTCATATATACAATACACATTACATATTTGCAATTTACATGCATATTATACATTTTATATATTTACAATACACATTACATATTATACAATACACATTACATATTATACAATTTACATGCATATTATACATTTTAAATATACAATACACATTACACATTATACATTGGAGGTTATGCTACTCTATGATCCTACTCCAATGACTGCTCTATGATCCTACTCCAATGACTGTCTATGATCCTACTCCAATGACTACTCCAATGATCCTGCTCCAATGAATGCTCTTTGATCCTGATCCAATGACTGCTCTATGATCCTGATCCAATGAATACTATATGACCACGCTCCAATGACTACCCTATGACCCTGTTCCAATGTCTGCCCCGTGATCATGCTCCAGTGACTGCTTTATGATCCTGCTTCAATGACGTTCTATGATCCTGCCCCAATGCCTGTTTTATGATCCTGCTCAAATGACTGTTCTATAATCCTTCTCCAATGTCTTCTCCATGATCCTGCTCTAATAACTGCTCTATGATCCTGCTCCAATGCCTGCTCTATGACCCTTCTCCAATGCCTGCTTTATGATCCTGCTCTAATTACTGCTCTATGATCCTGCTCCAATGCCTAAACTATGATCCTTCTCCAATAACTGCTCTATGATCCTGCCCCAATGTCAGTTCTATGATCCTGCTCAAATGACTGTTCTATAATCCTGCTCCAATAACTGCTCTATGATCCTGCTCTAATGACTGCTCTATGATCCTTCTCAAATGACTGCTCTATGATCCTGCTCCAATAACTGCTCTATGATCCTGCTCCAATGCCTGCTCTATGATCCTGCTCCAATGCCTGCTCTATGACCCTGCTCCAATGCCTGCTCTGTGACCCTGCTCCAATGCCTGCTCTATAATCCTGCTCCAATGACTACTCTATGACTCTGCTCCCATACATGTAGTAAATGTATAAATACATGGACTAGCTCTATTATTGAACCATATATATATTTAGGAATAAATACATAATGGACTAACGATGACAGACTGTTCTATTAGAAGACAATATTGCGTGTCGCCAAAAAATGATAAAGGAAGTATATTCACGTAGACCTAACTATTCAGCTTTTATAGTGTCACATTCACGTATACCTAACTATTATGCCTTTATAGTGTCATATTCACGTATACCTAACTATTTAGCTTTTTTAGTGTCCCATTCACGTAGACCTAACTATTATGCTTTTATAGTGTCACATTCACCTATACCTAACTATTATGCTTTTATAGTGTCACATTCACCTACACCTAACTATTATGCTTTTATAGTGTCACTTTCACGTAGACCTAACTATTATGCTTTTATAGTGTCACATTCACCTATTATACCTAACTATTAAGCTTTTATAGTGTCACATTCACCTATACCTAACTATTCAGTTTTTATAGTGCACATTCACCTATACCTAACTATTATGCTTTTATAGTGTCAAATTCACCTATACCTAACTATTAAGCTTTAATAGTGTCACATTCACCTATACCTAATCATTCGGGTTTAAATAGTGTCCCATTCACATATACCTAACAATTCGGGTTTATATATATACTGTCCCATTCACCTATACCTAACCATTCGGGTTTATATATATACTGTCCAATTCACCTATACCTAACCATTCGGGTTTAAATAGTGTCCCATTCACATATACCTAACAATTCGGGTTTATATATATACTGTCCCATTCACTTAGACCTTACCATTAAGGTTTATATAGTGTCACATTCACCTATACCTAAATAGTGTCCCATTCACCTATCTCTAACCATTCGGGTTTAAATAGTGTCCCATTCACATATACCTAACAATTCGGGTTTATATATTTACTGTCCCAATCACTTAGACCTTACCATTAAGGTATATATAGTTGTTGTCGGATAGGAACAAGATTCTGACGATGAACAGATAGACAACGGAATAACCCTCAAATCAAAATCGATAATGCAGAAAACTCTTTATTTCCTAAAAAAAAAATGAAATGAATAATGATAAATAATTATTACAATGGTTTACGAATTTATAATGAAAAGATTCTTACGATCTATTTGAGTATTTTTGGGTTAAACTGTCGGGGAGTCCTAAGACGCTTTTTTATACATTAAAACTTCTGAAAAGAGTGACAATTAAATGTTAAGGAAAGTAACTAATTCTTTATATGAAAATATTCTTTGCTTAACTTTGAAGTGGTTCACAATTAGTAAAAGTGTTTATATTCCGTTGTCGGAGAACAAAGAGAAGCGGGCTGAAATTGTTTGGTTTGGTTTCTCGTCTCCGAGAGGAGCTTTTAGGTTGAAGACGACATTACATAGAGGGGGGGGGGGCTTAATGTTAATGGTTGACAATAGGGTCACATTCACCTATTCCTAACCATTCGGGTTTAAATAGTGTCCCATTCACATATACCTAACAATTCGGGTTTATATTTATACTGTCCCATTCACGTAGACCATACCATTAAGGTTTATATAGTGTCACATTTACCTATCCCTAACCATTTGGGTTTAAATAGTGTCCCATTCACCTATACCTAACAATTTGGGTTTATATATATACTGTCTCATTCACCTATACCTAAATAGTGTCCCATTCATGTAGACCAAACCATTCGGGTTATATAGTGTCCCATTAAAGTAGAACTTATTTTATTTGGGGTCCCATTCACGTAGACCTAACTATTCGGGTTCACAAAGGGTCATTTTAATCACGTAGACCATACCTATTCGGATTTATAGTGTCCCATTCACGTAGAAATTCCCATTTGGGTTTATATAGTGTCCCATACATGTATACCTCACCATTTGGGCCTATATAGTGTCCCATTCACCATGACCCAAAAGCATTTTTACTTTTGATGAAAATAGGAATTTGGTGAATCTCCCAGATTCCCAGGCATTTAGTGAATTTCCCAGATTCCCAGGTATTTGGGAAATTTCCCAGATTCCCAGGCATTTGGGGAATTCCCGAAATTTTCCTTTTGGAATTTGAGGGTGGTATATTTTTTCAGATTTTGGAAATTTATTATATGACTGGATAATCGGGGAATTCCCAAATCCTATGGGAATTTAGGAAATTTTCCCAAAAAGCTAGGCATTTGAGAATTTCCCAGATTCCCAGGAATTTAAGGAATTTCCCAGATTTCCCGACATTTGGGGAATTTCCCAGATTCCCGGGAATTTAGTGAATTTCCTAGATGTCCATGTAATTTGAATATTTCCCAGATTCCCAGGCATTTGGTATTTTTTTAAGATTTTGGAAATTTCCCAAATTAATTCCACAGATTCTCAGATAATTGCAGAATTTCCCTGATTTCAAGGCATTTCAGAAATTCCAAAAATTTCCCAAATTCTTATGGTAATTTGAGAGTGGTATATTTTTAAGATTTTGGAAATTTCTCGAATTACTGGATATTTGGGAAAATTTCCCAAACCTCTGTGTGTTTGGTGAATTCTCCATGATTCCCAGGTATCTGGGGAATTCCCCAGATTCACAGGTTATTTGGGAAATTCCCAGATTCCTTACAGAATCTGAGGGTTTTTTATTTTCCAATAAAAGGAAATTTCTCAAATGCCCAGCTATTTGGGAAATTTACCAAGTACCCGAAGAATTTCCCAGATAGGCTTTTAGGGAATTCACTAGATTCCCAGGCATTTGAGAAATTTCCCAGAATCTATGGCATTTCGTAAATTTTCAATTTTGACCATTTTTTTATTTGCTGTCCCCCCCCCCCCCCCCCACTATTTTCGATAATTTCTCAATTATCCACAAAGATTTTCTGCAGATTTTCAAGAATTTTTATTGAAAAGACGACATTTGAAGAATTTGTATTGTAGAAATCTGCGACTAAATTCATAGAAAATAAGAAATTCAATATAATGATGAAAACAATATAATTGATTCAAGTATTGATTTATTGCCAAATTTCTTTTGAGAAATATGTTCCTAACCATCAAATTTGTTTATTGTATAATTTTACTTTATTTTTCGTCGTCATTATTTAATAATTTAAAAAAAAACCGATTCTGAAAACCTACCCACCCAAATTCATGATTTTGAACGTCGACTATGCATGCTCAAACTCGGTAATTATACATCGTGGAAATGTTTTATATGTCTCAAATGAATCCTAAAGAATTTGTCCACAACACTGCATATTCAGTTTAACTACCTTACATAGCCGGTCTGTCCCTTTAACGGTGTTTTAACATAATTATTAAAAGAAACTTACCTGGAAAATTAATTTGCCTAATTTATGCCAGAAATGCATTCAGAAATGCACTTTAATTAATTGTTTTCAGATAAAATGAAAACAGAAACGGTTTAAATGTAAGATTTGAAGCGAAGACGTCTCAAATCAAAAACAAGATGGCGGTCTTATTCGGGAACAGTTCCGGTTCCTTGGACACAACAGACTTGGCACTGCTGCAGGACAGCATGAGTGTACAACTACAGGTATGTTTGTAAACGCAAACAAATTCTTAAAACATAATCTATTGATGCCAGCTTTAAAAATCTAGTTAACAAGTGAGTGCAAAATGTGCGAAATCTAGTAAAATAAAAGTTAGTGCAAGTTGTGCAAAAACATTTGTGCTAATGTGTATAGACTATTGAGAACTAAAAATGTTTTGTAAAACAATTCTTATCCCAACAAAGCAAAATAATTGACTTGTGGATGCGCGAAAATAATAAATCTAAATTCTAAAACAGCAAAATGATTTACAAACATTCGTTCAAAGGTTCGTTTTTTTTTTAAAGTGATGAGAAATATTGATGAGAATTTTGCCAATTTCTTCTAAAAAAATGTAGCAACAAGCAAGTGTATGGTTTTAAAATGTACATGCCTAGGGTTATAACAAAGTACGTATAAGTGAGTGAGGTGAGATGAGATGAAATCAAAGAGCAAGGCGTTGCAACACTTCAAAGTTAACGAAGTATTGAAAATTGATGAAACTTTTCATAGCCGTCAGGATCTATGTGGTNACAGTGACCAAGAAGAGGCTTTATTACAGTTGTTATTGTCAATTCAATATATCTTCCACACAACTATTTATCCTTTATTTTTCACCATTATATCCAAGGTGACATACAACTACTGGGCTTTTAGGGCGCTTCGCGGCCCCTTTCCTTCAAATGATTTTAGTTTTTGACTGTTGCTCTGAAAGTCGACCATTTTAAACCATTTTTAAATTTTGGCGGATTTTTCATTTGAATGCGTGCCTTAAAAAATTATATGTTCAGGTAATTTTTTCCTCCAATTTTGATGTTCCTTCCATGGTCTCATTCATGTAAGGTCCCACAAAAAATTTGGGCTCGATCGGTTCAGCCGTTTTGTCGTTTATTGGTAACAAACAAACAGAAGGACAGCAAAGTATATATATAGAAGGAGGGGAGGTGGTATACAATTAACGGGAGGGAAACAGGTATTGTTTGTATTATTCTATCAAGTTTAAGTTTAACTAGTTTTAGTTGCAAACAAATAATTTATGTACTAAACTGAATATAATAAACGCTTTGGGCAAAGCCTCCCTTTCATGATCCCCAAAAATACAGAGTTTTTTTTCAATTTACGTTTTAATTTTCAAATTAGCGCTGTACGCGGTTTGTAAACGCTTTGGTAATATATTTATGCTATGAGAAAAGGGAAAAAGACATCGTTTTGACACATTCGTTTTCGGATCTTTTTTGAGTTGTTTTTTCATATACTTTTTTATATACTTTTTCATATACTTTTTCATATACTTTTTCATATACTTTTTCATATACTTTTTCATACACTTTTTCATATACTTTTTCATATACTTTTTCATATACTTTTTCATATACTTTTTCATATACTTTATCATATACTTTTTCATATACTTTTTTCTATCAGGGTCAAAATTGGCATAGTTTAACCAAAGCCAGTGTTTAGATTTTTGTGGAATTTTTTGAAACTCCAAAAACCGTCAAAAACGCCCCAACGTCCTAGGACGTTGAATTTAAAAATAAACAAGCAATATTCCCCATAGTTGACATCAATCCATATTATTATCTCCGGAGTGCTGTTGCGAGATAAAATACTCAATTTTATCGGAAGTCTGTCACGTATCAACTAGCTAGCTACGGTTTATCTGCCCCTGCCATGTTTTCTGTTTTAGGAAATTTTTATACTGTTTATTTTAAGTCGGAACAATATCTCAAATTCTTCGCATTCAAGTTTCAATTTAGAGAACTCAACAAAAAAAGTTTTTTAACCCCCTAAACATGGCAATTTTAGTTTCATAAATTAGATGGAAAATGATGTGACTTTATCTAATGTTTACAGCATTGAATCTAGTATCTACTAAATCCTTTTGGAAAAAATATATTCTCTGTTAATTTGAAATTTCAATCATCTTTTTTGCAAAAACTTTGTTTTCAAGGCTGGATTTCCATCATTAATATCCATATGGTTAAAGGGGACTCTCCCTAAAACTGGAGTTTACGGAAAATTACAAATTATAAATTAAATTATTAAAATCATTTGTTTTATCTCTTTTCCTACAATTTCCAAAGAAATATATTTTCTTTTGATTAAAACTTTGTCTTGGCTTTCAAGCAAATCTACATTTTTTAATAGAATAAAATAAGAAATACGAGAAATTTAAATTAAATTTTTGTTTCAACAAGGTTCAAAGAAAAATTGAAAAAAATTAAACTTTCAAATGAAAAAAAAATGTTGAGACTTTTTTGTAAGCATTTGTTTTTTTAAGTACCCTGTCAAGTATCAATAGTATCAGAAGTATCAGTATGATGAGTATATGATAAGTATATGATGAGTATATGATGAGTATATGATATGTATATGAAGAGTATATGAAGAGTATATGATGTGTATATGAAGAGTATATGATGAGCATATGAAGAGTATATGATAAGTATATGATGAGTATATGATGTGTATATGAAGAGTATATGATGAGTATATGATGAGTATATGATGAGTATATGATAAGTATATGATGAGTATATAATGTGTATATGAAGAGTATATGATGAGTATATGATGAGTATATATATATGATGCGTATATGATGTGTATATGAAGAGTATATGATGAGTATATGATGAGTATATGATGAGTATATGATAAGTATATGATGAGTATATAATGTGTATATGAAGAGTATATGATGAGTATATGATGAGTATATATATATGATGCGTATATGATGAGTATATGATGAGTATATGATGAGTATATGATGATTATATGATGTGTATATGAAGAGTATATGATAAGTATATGATGAGTTTATGATGTGTATATGAAGAGTATATGATGAGTATATTATGAGTATATGATGAGTATATGATAAGTATATGATGAGTATATGATGTGTATATGAAGAGTATATGATGAGTATATGATGAGTATATGATGAGTATATGATGAGTATATGATGAGTATATGATATGTATATGAAGAGTATATGATGAGTATATGAAGAGTATATGATGCGTATATGATGAGTAAATGATGAGTATATGATGAGTATATGATGAGTATATGATGAGTATATGATGAGTATATGATGAGTATATGATGAGTATATGATGAGTATATGATGAATATATGATGAGTATATGATGAGCATATGATGAGTATATGATGAGTTTATGATGAGTATATGATTAGTATATGATGAGTATAAGATTAGTATATGATGAGTATATGATGAGTATATGATTAGTATATGATGAGTATATGATTAGTATATGATGAGTATATGATGAGTATATGATGAGTATATGATGTGTATATGATGAGTATATGATGAGTATATGATGATTATGAGTATATGATGAGTACGGAAAGGAAAGATACAGTATCAAAGATACAATAAATGAAATGAATATAATTATTGAGTCTGAATCCATATTCATTAGATATCTAGTTATCTGAATTGTTCTCTCACATAGACATATCCTTCATGAAATTTAGATTTACGCAATCTGAAAGGGACTTAGACGTAATATTCAGTAAACCCCCAGCTAAAGAGCGGCATGTATATCCGATATTTAAAACGGTATCCTTTCATTTAAACACATTAAGGCATTGACAAAAATAGTCTAATGTCATCATTCTTTCAGACACTGGTGAAATATAACATTTTGAAGGGTACCTTTGCGAATCGGAAATGCATGAAGGGTCCCTGTTGAATATGTTTTTAGTCCCTATATGGGACAAACATACAGTATTTTCTTACTTGCAGCACATTGTTTTAATATCTTCCAGTTTTACTCTTCTTCTTTACAAAATACAGAATACAATTATAATTATAAAAACAATAACATAGGGTGATTAACATTATCTGCAAGTACAATAATATAAAAAATTGGAAGACGAAAATTAAATCGCACTAATTGACAACGTTTATAAGCGTTTGTGTTTAGAATGAGGAATTTTCGGACAACGAATATGGACTTCTCAACTTTGGCAAGCTGTACATGCTTTTAGTGGAGTCAAACAGTACAATGCAGGTTAAGGTTTTATGAACAAATTGTCACTGTCAACTAGACAGGAGGACATGCCAGGTTCGACTTTGTGACCTCGTAGCTCCTCTTGTTTTGATTTTCAGCATGAAGTGTGAGAAATTTATTGTATTTACATATTAACCCTATTCCTGCTGGGGGGGGGGGTCAATTTATTGTATTTACATATTAACCCTATTCCTGCTGGGGGGGGGGGTCAATTTATTGTATTTACATATTAAGAATTCAAACTATGTTTGTTCTTCTCGATAGCTCTTTAATAATAGAAGTTATGATTGAAAACATAAAAGATTTTAATCGTATGTACAATTTACTTTAGTGTGACTTCTTGTACAATTCAAAGGATTACTTAAATCTTATATTTACTGTAACAAGAAACAAGAATAAATTCTATTTTTTAACACGACGTTGGGTCTTGTATCATGTCTGTTTTCCTAAACATTCAGGCATCGTTTGAAACATTCAATTCTAGGCTATTTTGGTTTTCTTGAAAAACTGTGAATAATAACATGAACATTCAAACATTTATTTAAATCAAAAAATTTATATTAATTTAAATTTTCAAAAGTTATTTTAATTTAAATTTAAATTAACAAAAGATAACATTTAAAGGGGAATAAGCATCGTATGAATTGCTTGTAGATATTTAAAGGATAGTATAAATTGCTTGTAAATAATCAGAATTTTCATTAAGTAAATATCTTAATTAATATTTAAGGTGCTTGTGCATTTAAAGAATAAAACATTATTTTGCAAAAGCTTTTAAACAAAGTAAATTATGAGGAAAATCCTATGAAAATAAAAAATTTCAAAAATTTAAACATAATATCTATATATTTTAGAATATTATTAGGGTGTCGGGGTGTGAGTGTACTGTGTATGATTGTGTGTTTCACTAAAAACGAATCGATCTTCTGAGAGCGAAATAGAACAAACAATTAAATTTCCCATAAATCATTCATATTTGAATGTTCAATTCGGAAACCTCTCCTCCATTCTCTGTTTACACTAAAAACTTCCTTGATGTTGTACAAAGGAATTCGCTTATCAAAATATTGAAAACTGTTGATTTAAATATCTTAAAGGGACTGTAAGCGTAATTTCAAGTTACCCTTCATACAAAGATGGCAATGCGCGATTCACAATTGTACCCTTGAAAGCTTTGTCTGATAAAGTTTAAATTAGATATGAATGTTTATTCATTCATTAAAGGAATTGAGTCTAATTGCAACTTTGAGTCTATAATTCTTATATCTTTGCAATCAAATATCATTATATAGACCTTTTTTTACTAGGATTTCTGTTAGATCAAATAATCTAAGTTTGAAGTTTGAAATATTAAAAGTTTACATGGTATATTAAAGACTTAATTTTTTTACACAAAATTGTTTGAATTTTGTATTCTTCTTACACAGTTTTGTATGTCGTACTATATACGGAAACGAAAAGAATAGACAAATGTTTAAAAAGTGAATTGAATGTATTTGAACCTTGCAATAATTTATCCCTTTCTCAATAAACCTTTCAACTTATATTTCTAAGAGATCTGTTTCTTTATCTATTCTCTGTTTATATAGATTTAACTCCTTTTATGTGACACAAAGGAATTTATAATCCAAAGCCAGGAAATTGTTTATTTGAATTCATTTTATAATACCTCGATATATATTCATGATTTTCTCTCAAGGAAACAAAATAATCTGATATCATTGCAAACTAGACAGCTAGACGGAGAATATGACATTTTTGCGACTTTAATGGTGCGAATTTGTGTCCCTACATACCTGATATAGCTCTGAAAGAGTAATATATTGTTTTCAATAAGTAAACCGTAAAACAGATGCTTATTACAAGGAACGGATTTCTTAAACGTTCCTATTTTAATCCATTTATCGAAATAATCTATACCGTCGAAGATCTATTAATTTGAAATTCAGGTTGCAAAGATATAGGAACTGGGGTATTAGAGTTTAAGGATAGTAGAATCAGTTTCATTCCAATTGAAATGAATTGTGTAAGTGACCCATTTGAGTTTTTCTTCGGTAAAAATTGTTGTGTGCCAAATTATATGGTTTGATAATTTTTATTGTGTGAATTTTGTATATCATGAATTTGCCTGGAATTCTGGCAAAACATTTTGCAGGTTTGTGAAACGAATTTTGTTTTCGATAGATTTATCAACAATTCGTAACATAATTTTATCAACTTTTGAAAAACCTTTGAAATCATAGAACTTACTATTATACAGTGCACAAGAAGATGGTACAAATTTTTAAATGGCATTTTGTTCAATCTTGAGCTGAGGGTATTTATACACACCTAATACTTCCCGTGGTTGGGAGAAAAAGTAAGTTTATCACGTGCTAATAAAATTTCACATTTAACACCTAACATATCTCGTTGTAGAGTGATAAAATTACTTTTTCACCCTACAACAGGGCGATTAAGTACCCTTTTTCGATTTGCCAATGATTAAGTTGATTACGTTTGGTGTGAAAACACTTTCATTTTGATCTCAAACCAACTTGAAAAAAAAAAATCCCTGCAAAAACTTTTTCACATTTAATAATATCCATTAACAACCCTTATTACAAATAATAGCATAAATAGATATTATACTTAATGCTATCCTTGTTTGTATTAACTTTCTCTCATGAATTAGTAATTAAAGCTTTGTAAATAAACATATTTAGAATCCTAGGCCTGGCCCATTCAGACTTTATATAGAATGTATAAATTATTCATGCTTCCAAAGAAAGTCCAGTCATTAATGAATTCAAAAAGTATAAAATAGTAAAAAATAATAATTACAGCAAAAAAAAGTTTGGAAAATAATTACGAATTGTGCAATACAATGGAATTTGCTGAAGGGGGCAGCAAGTAAGAATGTTGACATTTGGATATATTATATATGGGCAATTTAGATTTATAGGGGCAATTTAGATATTTGCATCCTGTAGTGGATAAAAAATGGGGCGATTCAGAAAGAAACCAAATTAATGATCGTTCTTGTTTAGGGTCCAAAATAAAATTTGTTTTTAAAACATAAACTTTTTTATTCATAACAAGCCAGTTTCTATGCAGCTCTTTTCTTTACAGATTGAAAAGGATTTCACTGGTACCTCTTTGCTATCTCGTAGTTCATTTATAGTTTAGATTATACGCCCATGTAATATGAGAAAAGCTAATTTATTTGGTTAAATATTAGAAATTCAAATTTTGTTTGGTTGTTCCAATTAGGTATTTAATAAAATAAGTTATGATTGAAAACATGATAGATTTCAATACAAAAAAAATTACTAATGACACGTACGGGTCACGGGAAAAACTACTTCCCCCCCCCCCATATCACAACCTTGGATATTCACACATTGTTTTCTCCAATTTGGTTTTATTGTACTCCAGGGAGGAGTAGAATTATAACATGTTACTGCATATAAGAGCAAACATAATAAAGATCATAGTTTCAAACACTTAAAAACAAAAATAAGAATGTTGAACAATTTTAATAAAATTAATGGAAGCTGTAAAACAAAACTGATCCTTTTAACATTGTGACCTGATGTAGCAGAATATTCAATATTTATCTAAATTAATGAATTAACCTTTGCCACAAACTCTAATTTTCTAATTTCTATATCTTTGCAACCCAATGTCGTGGACCTTGGATATTTCAATCTATGAATTCTATTGGATCAGAAAATCCAAGTTTGAAATATCAAACACATTTAGGTTGCAAAGATATAGTAATTAGAAAATTTGAGATTGTGGCAAAGACACAATTCCGTTAGTGTTAAAAGTTTAAATATTTTTGGTTTATGCTATCATTGTTAATTCACCATAGTTTCAGTAGAAGTAAGTATTTCCATTTACTAATAGCGCCGATTGAAGGATTCATAACTCTAATTGGATAATGAGATAGATAGAAAGATAGATGTTACCGCCATACTATTTCTATTGGTTCAGAATAGACAACGAACACATGGCTGAACCGTGATTGATTCAGGCGCTAATGGACTCAGCATACAGGAGTGTGTTGATAGATAGAAATTTAAGTTTGTGCTATGTTTTTTTTCCAGAAGAAAATTTTTTTGTAAAATGAAAAACATAAAAGTTCAGATAAGGTTTGGTGGAAGGTGTAATACAGAAGTTTATGTATAATCATGATATTACATTATTCCTTCTGGTTCTGGTATAATTTATATATATATGTCTGTACAGTATGTAAATGGATTATATACAGGCTGAGTAAAAATAAACAACCATGAGGATTTATATTGCTTTACACAACCGTATTTTTTTAGGTTGAAAAATATATTTTAAAAAAGCTCACAAATTTTGCAAATATTAAAAATCCGCAAAAACTTTTTCTCTCTCAGTCATCGATTGTAAAATTTATTTTATTTAATTACAAAATATTCATAGAAATCGGAATTTTAAGTTAAACAATGTTATATTCAAATTGTAATTTATTCATTATATTATTTGCAATTGTAACATTTGACGCAGATCTTCTGCGGATTTTTTGTATAACAGTTTTAAAAAATATATTTTTCCATCATATTTAAGAATTGTTACTTTTCATAAAAAATGCCGAATTTCTGTGTGCATCAAAAATATTTTGTACACTTAGATTTAATATTTTTAACCATTAACATGAAGACCAAAAAGAAATGTAAAACAACTAACTCTAATATTCTTCATACACACCTTGTATATATATCTATATATATATTGTATGTATAATGTTGATATATATTTGAATAAGGAAGTGGAAAGGATGGATTGGGAGTAGGCTAAATTGTTATCAAACTCATTTGCAATTAAGTTCAATGCAAACACAATAACCATTTCATTCAAATTAAGGACTCACTTAATCACCAACAGAGGAGAATACAAGTGGATTTTGATTGTGCGCTATATATATTGCGAGATGCGAGCCCTGTATTTCCGGTCCTGTATTTCCAGCCCTTTATTTCCGGTCCTGT